TACCAGGGTTCAAACTCGGGACCTTGTGCTTGTGAGACAGGCAGCAGAACCACTGAGCTAAATCCCTGGCCCAAGTATATAGAATTTTTGTCCAATTAATTATAACTCAAACCTGGAGGAAAAAAACATCTGAAATGCCTGTTTTCCTAACACAAAGAATTGAGGACAACTATATTAGCCTCTTACTCTATATACTCAGCATTGTAGAATATTTTTTAAACAAAAACATACTCATGTAGCAGTCACAGAACCAAAGGCTATTTCCTTTCTTCCTCCTATCCCTTTTCTTTTTTTTGGAGACAGGGTTTTGCTACGTAACCCAGGCTGGCCTTGAACTTGCAGCAATCCTCCTGCTCCTCCTGCCTCTGTTCCCAACACTGGGAAGAGAAGTGTGCATCACCATGCCTGGTATTAAATTTTATTTTTGAGAAAGGGTCTCACCAAGTTGCCCAGACTGGCCTCAAACTCATGATCCTCCTGGCCTTAGCCTCCCAAGTCACTGGGATTACATGAGTGCACCACTGTGCCTCTCTCTGAAACCTTAAGAGAGATAGAAACAGGTCGGTATACACAAATACAAAAGATACCCACTGATGTAAATGAGGATAACAAAGTTGCAAAACATGCATTGCAACATTTCATTTTTCTTAAAAAGAACGTTACCTATGTCTGTGTATCCTGAGCAAAAGTAGACAGAAACAGGGCACAGGATTTAGCAGTATCCATTCTGAAAGAAGCCTCCTGTGCTGGGGAGGGGAGCACTTTCCTTCCCCTCCAAACAATGGGACTGGTGCTGGTCGGGGGAACCAAGCCGGGCCTGGCACTCTGGGACAGCAGGTGCAGAAATACACACCCGGACTCATCCGTGCTCAGAAACTCCCAGGAGAATCCCGCAGGCAGAGCAGTGCTTTCCAGCTAGGATGATTACTGCCTCACTGGGAGGGGGAATTCAGCATTTTCTGCAGGTATTATGGGTATCACAACTGGACCAGGGGTGCTACTGGAGGTCAGAACACTGCAAAATTTTAATCTTGTAATGCACAAGAAGGTCCAACATAGGAGGCTACAGATTAGGGCTAGGGGTGTGGCTCATGGTAGAGGAGTGTGTAGCATGTGCAGGGCTATGGGTTCAATTCCTGGCATCAGAAAAACAGAACCAGAAATCCCCAGCAACACACACAAACACACACACACACACACACACACAAAGAAGGAAAAAAAAAAGGAGAAAAACTGTTCTCTAACCTGACTACCATTAGCACTTCTGTAGTTGGAAGAGAACAACTCCTCATCTAGTTGCTGTGTGCAGGCAGACGCTCGTCAGGGTGTGGCAAGGAGAACTGGAGTATGGAGGTTTGCTCTGAGGTTCAGAGGACTTGCTTTTCTTTTTCTTTTTGGTACCAGGGATCAAACTCAGGACCTTGCGCTTGGGAGGCAGGCGTGGTGCCACTGAGCTAAATCCCTGGACCTGGACTTGCTTTTCTTAAAAGGGGGGTGGGGTGGGGGAGGGAGCATCCAATGGACACACGTGTCCAGTACTCTGCTGTTACTGCCATCGCTGCAGGAAATGACTCTGTACACTGCCCTTGGTAATACATTCAGGAAAACCGAAGAGTAAATTCTTAGCAGAACTGCTAGATTACATGATATATGCTCTTTAAATTTTGGTGTAGAATTTGAGAAAAACAATGTAAAATATAAGATCAGTTAGGTGCTCTATTTAGATGCTTTAATAACTATGCTGACATCCCAACATGTATCCTGTATACTGATATCAAACAGGTTGGCCACAGGAAGCATGAGTTTGTTTTATGACTGTTTTCAATTTTGGAGAAATAAGATTTGTTTTTTTTGTTTTTTGAGACAAGGTCTCACTATGTAGTTGAGACTGCTCTGGAACTCACTATGTAGCCCAGGGTGGTCTCCAACTCACAGCGATCCTCCTGCCTCAGCCTCCCGAGTGCTGGGATTACAGGTGTGTGCCACCATGCCCGGCTGGAGAAATAAAATTTGCACTGTGGCAGTATTATAACGAATGAAGTTTATCCAAAGTGGGATTACTGCTAACTGAAAACTAATATTGGAGATCCAGACTAATAAAAACTTTAGGGGGCAAAGAGACAATACCGTAAACGGTGCTGGTGGGGATGTGGAGAACTAGAACCCTGGAGCACTGTTACTGGAAACATGAAATGCTGCAACTGCTTTGGAGACCGGTTTGGCAGATCCCCAAAACATTAACAAATGACTGGCAACAACACTGGATACATATCCAAGAGGCCAAAAATACACGGGTACACAAAAACCTGCACACAAATGTTGCTAGCAACATTATTCAAAGTAGCCAAAAGGAAGAAACAAAAATGTTCACCAACTAGCCAGGTGTATGGCACATGCCTGTTATTCTGCACTCAGAAGGCTGAGGCAGGAGGATTACTGTGAGTTTGAGGCCAGCCTGGACCACATAATGAGTCCCTGTCTCAAAACACAAATGAACCAATGAAGGAACAAAGTTCACCAATGAAAAAAAAAAGTATATCCATACATTGGAAAAGCAAAGAGAGCAGAGTACTGAGATGCTATAAAAAATGAATCTTGAAGATATTCTGCTAAATAACCCAGAAACAAAAGATAAAATACTGTATGAGTCCATTTATATGCAATGTACAGAAGAGGCAAATCCATAGAGCGTTAGAGCAGTTAGAGCAGATTAGTGACTCTCAAAGTCGGGAAGGAGAATGAGAGCGAAGCGGAATGATCCAGTGGATAGGTTTTTTTTTTTTTTAAAGGATGATGAGATGTTCTGAAATAAGCAATGGTTGAATATAACAAAAACCATTGAATTATATACTTTAATAGAATGTACCCTAAAAAATTAAAAAGATTCATCCTATAAAATAGGGATTATATCTCAATAATGCGCTCATTAAACAGGTTCTGCCAGGTGTGGTGGTCCACACCTGTAATCCCAGCACTCAGGAGGCTGAGGCAGGAGGATCAATGCAAATTCAAGGCTAGCCTGGGGTACAATAGTGAATTCAAGGCCAGCCTGAACTACAAAGTGAGATCTTTCTCAAAAAACCAAACCAAACCAAAATAAACCCCACAAAAAAAAGAACAGGTATGTAATTCTAGCACTCAGGAGGCTGAGGCAGGAGGATTGCCGTAAGTTCGAGGCCAGTCTGGGCTACATAATGAGTTCAAGACCAGCCTGATCTATGTAGCAAGACCCTGCCTCAAAACATAAACTAACAAAAATAAATAAATAAAAACAGGTGTACAGAAAGCACCTGGCACACTGCAGCTATTCATTAAAACTTACACTCCTTTGCACTGGGTGCAATAGCGTATTGCCACCTAGCATTCTGGAGGCTGAGGCAGGAGGACTGTGAGCTCAAGGCCATCATGGCCTACATAGTGAGTTCAAAGCTGGCCTGGTGTACAGTGAGACTATGTCAAAACACACACACACACACACAGACACACACACACACACACAGACACACACACACA